TGGGAGTCGATTATGGAGAAACTTATGCTCCAGTGGCCAAACATGATACAGTAAGGCTTCTAATTGCATTAGCTGCTAATTTGGGTTGGAAGTTGTTTCATATGGATGTAAAATCAACTTTCTTTAATGGTGTTTTGCAAGAGGAAATTTATGTTGAACAACCACCTGGGTTTGAGATTACAGGGAAGGAAGATTGTGTTTATAAGCTTAACAAGGCTTTGTATGGTCTAAAACAGGCACCAAGGGGGTGGTATTGTAGAATTGATCACTACTTGATGAGTCAAGGCTTCAGGAGGAGCACAGAAGAAGCAACTTTATATGTGAAAGGTAGCAGCAGTGAATCGCAACTTATTTTGTCACTTTATGTGGATGACTTATTGTTAACCGAAAATGATTTGAAGTTGTTGGAACAATTCAAGAAGGTTATGATGCAAGAGTTTGCAATGACATATTTGGGAGAGAAAAAATATTTTCTAAGACTTGAAGTTCAATAATTGAGCAAGGGAATTTTCATTTGCCAGAGAAAGTATGCACTGGATATCTTGAAAAAGTTTGAAATGGAGAACTACAAACCATTTGCCACTCCACTAGTTCAAAATGAAAAGCTTTCCAAGGATGATCAAGAAACCAAGGTTGATTCCTCATACTATCGAAGTTTAATTGGTAGCCTGCTTTATTTAACTGCTACAAGACCTGATTTGATTTTGCAACAAGCTATTTGTCAAGGTTTATGTCGACTCTTAGTAAACTTCATTTAGTTGCAGCCAAGAGAGTTCTTAGGTACATCCAAGGAACCTATGAACTTGGCTTGTGGTTTGACAGTAATCAACAAGGAAGGTTACAGGGGTATGCTGATAGTGATTGGGCAGGTTCTATAGAGGATATGATAAGCATAACAGGTTATGTGTTCTCCTTTGGTTTAGGGAGTTTCTCTTGGAATTCAAAGAAGCAAGATGCTGTAGCTCAGTCCACAGCTGAGGCCGAGTATTTAGCAGCTGGGGTAGCAGCGAATCATGCTATTTGGCTCAGAATGGTGCTTGAAGAACTTGGTTTTGATCTAATTGAGCCTTGTGTACTCAAGGTAGATAACATGTCAACAATTGCTATTGCTCAAAATCCAGTGCAGCATGGTAGGACCAAACACATCAAGATTAAATATCATGTTATCAAAAATTATGTTCAGGACAAAGAGATTGTTTTGCAACATTGTGATTCCGAAATTCAAGTTGCAGATATTCTGACTAAAGCTCTTCCAAGGCAAAAATTTGAAGAATTCAGAGATATGCTTGGAGTTACAAATATAAAAAGCAAGGAGGAGTGTTGAAGATATCAATTAACAGCAATTATGCTTTTTTAATTTGTAACTGATTTTTTGTTTTCTACAGTTAGTTCTACAAGTTAGCTGCATTAGGAGTAGTTATTTTTATCCTTTATGTAAAAACTATAATGTATAAGTTACAGATATTCAGCAACTCTTTTTGTATGTCAGCTATCAATCTGAAATGAAATAGAGCTCCACATCCGAGAAGCTCATAAAATCTAGATTAGTGTGTTCTTTAGTTTACTACAGAAATTAACAGATCTAACAAAGGAAAGGAGGAACTTTTTTTCTTAAGTCCATGTCTATTAATTTTGCAAGAATTTCTAAGATTTAAGGGTTTTTTTTT